ACAATCACTAGCTAATGTGAATAATAGGATGCTAATTTAGTAGAAATTTTTTCTTCAACTAAGATAGTGAACTATGCATGTAAAAGCCCGAGAAACATCACAAACACTGAAATATGCACGTGGCTCCCAATTAGGAAATTACTTTGAAATTTGCACTATTCCAACATGTAGGCATGAAACTAAGTTGAAAACTAAGTCGAAAACTATTCCAACATGTAGGCATGGAACTAGTCGAAAAATAGTGCAACAGCCACGAGACAGCCCGGGGAACACCTCAAACACCTCGGGAGGGACCAATGTGAGTTGTAGAAATTTACGGAACTAGCACGGGACTCCCGATTTGAAAACTAAGTCAAAAAATGCACTTTCTCACACTTAAGCTTGAAAATAGACCTTCGGGGGCCAAAATCGTGCAACAGCCACGAGACGGCCCGGGAAACACCTCAAACACCTCGGGACGGACCAATGTGAGTTGTGAAAACTTACGGAACTAGCACGGGACTCCCGACTTGAAAACTAAGTCCAAAAATGCACTTTTCCACACTTAAGCTTGAAAATAGGCTTTTGGGGGCCAAAATCGTGCAACAGCCACGAGACGGTACGGGAAACACCTCAAACACCTCGAGACGGACCAATGTGAGTTGTGGAAACTTACGGAACTAGCACGGGACTCCCGGTTTGAAAACTAAGTCCAAAAATGCACTTTTCCACACTTAAGAGAAGCCATCGGGGGCCAAAATCATGTAATAGCCACAAAAAGGCTCGGGAAATACCTCAAACACATCAGGAGGGACCAACATAAGTTGAGAAAACTTACGGAACTAGTACGGGACTCCCGATTTGAAAACCAAGTCCAAAAATGCACTTTTCTACACTTAAGTTTGAAAATAGGCCTTCGGGGGCAAAATCGTGCAACAGCCATGAGACGGCCTGGGAAACACCTGAAACACCTCGGGATGGACCAATGTGAGTTGTGGAAACTTACGGAACTAGCACGGGACTTCTGGTTTGAAAGCTAAGTCCAAAAATGCACTTTTTTACACTTAAGTTTCAAAAATAGGTTTTTAGAGGCCAAAATCGTGCAACAGCCACGAGACGGCCCGGGAAACACCTCAAATACCTCAGGACGGACCAATGTGAGTTGTGGAAACTTACGGAACTAGCACGGGACTCCCGGTTTGAAAACTAAGTCCAAAAATGCACTTTCTTACACTTAAACTTGAAAATAGACCGTCGGGGGCGAAAATCGTGCAACGGCCATGGGACAGCCCAAGGAACCCCTCAAACACGTCGAGAGGGACCAATGTGAGTTGTGGAAACTTACGGAACTAGCACGGGACTCCCGGTTTGAAAACTAAGTCCAAAAATGCACTTTCTTACACTTAAACTTGAAAATAGACCTTCGGGGGCCAAAATCATGCAACAGCCACGAGACAGCCCGGGGACCACCTCAAACACCTAGGAAGGGACAAAAAATGCACATTCTCACACTTTTGAAAATAGGCCACCGGTGGCCAAAATCATGCAACAGCCACCAGACAGTCCGGTAACCACCTCAAACACCTCGAGAGGGACCAATGTGAGTTGTGGAAACTTACGGAACTAGCACGGGACTCCCGGTTTGAAAACTAAGTCCAAAAATGCACTTTTTTGGTGACGAAATATTTCGTCGTAAAAAACAATTAAAATAAAATATTATTTAGTTTTGGTGACGAAATTGGTGTTTTAAAGGACGAAAAATTCAACATTTGGAGACGAAACATTTCGTCGCCAAAAATGAAAAATAGGTGACGAAACTGTTTTTCGTCACCAGGTACTTTTTGTGACGACGTATAGGCCACGAAAGTGGTGACAAATTTTTTTCGTCACAGATCACTTTAGTGACAAAATTTTGATGTTTGGAAACAAAATCAATCTGTTACCAAAGGCCTTTTTTTGTTGTAGTGAGCCTTCACGGGAGGTCGGGTGAGGAGAGTTGAGGAGATGAGAGTCTTAGAAGACACTTCATGCCAAGAAACTTATGTCAAGGAACATTGGCATGTTCAAAGGAAAGAGCTTTGTTTTGGCATGATAAATGAAGGGTGATCCAAGAGGACTCATAATGACACCGGGGGTAGTGCACCAAAAAGGTTGAAGTCCGTTGACAGTCGAGCTTCTAGTCGAACTAAGGAGGATCTGAGGGACTACCTCCAGAGGAAACGGTAGACCGAGGTCACATCTCCCGTGAAACCGAAGACACCGTTCTCAGTAGAGTTGGACAGGTTCGAGGCCCCAAAAAGGTTCCGTACGCCGAGGCTCCAGATATATGATGGTAAGTCTGACCATAACTTTCACGTCGGCTTGTACCTGAATTCAATGGCGTTGTACACTGGGAATGAAACTTCGCATCAGACTGTTTCACAAGTTGCCGAAAGGAACTGTGAAGAGTTGGGAAGGCCTGGCCGAGATGTTCGTGGCCAGATTTGTCAGAAACAAATTGCAGCCATTAAGGGTAGACTCCCTGATGGCTTTGAAGATTGGCGAGGGTGAAAGCCTTAGGGCTTATGCCAAAAGGTACTATGAGGTGTTCAACCAAATACCAGGATGTAACCAGGAATTGGTGGTCGTGTCTTTTAAGAATGGCCTGGGGGATGATTGCATGTTACGGAAGTCATTGGTGAAGACTCTACCAAAGAGTATGGAGAAGCTCATGGCAAGGATCGAAAAATATGCCAGAGCGGAGGAGGATACACTAGGAGCAAAGGCGCCGAACCAAGAGAAGAGAAACGACTCATCGAAGTGAAGCCGAGGTAATGTTGGATTTAATAGGCAAGAAACAGGGCAGAGAGCTGCACAGGCAGTCACCACTGTGTTCCGGATCCCGGTTTACAAAGTTCTGGAGAGGATTAAGAGCCAACCATATTACAGAGCACCAGAGAAGGTTCCTGGAAAATTTATGGGAAGAAGCCTTGGAAAGCACTGTGCTTACCACAATGAAGATAGGCACTTGACACAGGGCTGTAGAGCCCTAAAAGCACATTTGGAAAATCTGGTAAGACAATGTCACTTAGGGGACCTATTAGATAGGGCCAGAACAAGGGAAGAGCATGCAAGGTTGCCCCAGGCGCCAGCAGCACCACCTCCACCAGCACTGCAGCCACAACCGCAAGTAGATGGACATCGAGTGATCAATGTGATCCACTCGAAGGTCAATGAAAACAAGGTACGTGGGGAGACCTAGAGGGTGAAACACTTACAGCATATGTATCAAGTCCAACAAAAGAGGCGTAGGGCAAACGAATACCAGGGACCAATTGTAACACCCCCATTTTCATGCCCAAATGATAATACAATAATTATGGCCCTTTAAAGTAAAACTGATAATAAATCCTCATACTTGCCTTACATGATGTAAATAGTCTTCATGCGATAATACAGTTAATCCAACAACAATTAATTAAACAACAAATACCCCTAAGGGTTTACAAGTTTCCAAGGCTTAAGCCTGGTTACACAAAACGGTTATTCAAACCACGGTTTTGAAACCCAACCGGTTGAACCGGTGACCGGGTGAGGTTCCGGTCCGGTTGGCCCTCTAAAACCGGTCAAATGTAAAAACCGGTGTATTTACATAGAACCGGTGAAACCGGTGGTTCAACCGGTGAACCGTTCAAACCGGTACCGGGTTAATTGAACCGGGGCAGTTTGCTTATATATATATATAAAAAAATTAAATTTAGATATGTTTCTATTTTTCTTTGCTTATCTTCAGCTATCTAGGGCTTCTTCACACAGGTCTCTTCCCTTCCCTCTGTTAGAGCATCCGATCTATCTCTCTGTTTTTTTTTTTCGCCATTAACGAATCAATCAAGTAAGGTTCTCAACTTTACACACTGATTCACCACCACTGCTACCAAGAATCTCAGCCGCCAGCAGCCTCCAGGTATTATTTTGATGAATCTTTGAATCTCTTTCTTTGTTTTTCAAAAAAATTGGGTCTACTTACAACGGCTCTGTTTTCAATTTTCCTTTTCCTCTATTTTTTTCTACAGAATGAAAAATATATAGAGATTCTCACAAAAAATTTTCAAATTGAAAAATATATAAAGATTTTTTATTCTTCTATTTTCTATTTTTTTCTTCAGAATTTTTTTTCCCCTCTTTATAGATAGATCATAGATATATAGAAAACATATTTTGAATTGAAATGGTGCACTAATTTCCCAATGTCAAACGACTACTTCTCAATTGAGAGTGGAGACTAAAGTGAGAGAGAGGGGTATAGAGAACCAGAGAGTGCATTTGTGAAGAAACACATCTCATTATCTTCACCCAAAAGGTACTTCTCATCCCTTTTATCTCTCTATCTCAAACATTTTACACCATTTTACTTCTTTTTTTTTTTTTGTGGCAACTCATTGTTTTAAAGGTTGATATTATTGTGATATTTTCTATCAATTTCTTATTTTTCCTGCCTAAATATCTGAAGATCTCTCTCATGCTTTCACTTTGATTGAGTTTTTTATTTTACTTTAATGTCTGCATCAGATTGTGAAACGAGTCAATATCAGGTCTTCTGTTCATATTACCAGTCAATTTAATGTTAAAAGACCTTAATTTTCAAATATTTATGAAGTTAAAATGTGATTTGGTGGGTATGTTATTCTGGGTTGCTTCTTGATTTGTGAATTTAGTGATGATAATTTGGATACCCATGAATAATTATGATTATTTTCCTTTTCTTATGACCTATTTTATTCAATGCATCTAATAGTTAGAAGAAAATTAGCTTTCAAATTTTGAACTACACTTAATTTAATTATTGTATTGAATTTATCTTTTTTTTCTCTTTTTTTCTTTTTTTAATTAAGTCTTTGGCCAGAATAGGAGTACTTTTTTATTATGATTATTGTATTGTATTGTAATGAATCCTACTTTCTGGAATATTAATTTGAATAGGAGTATTTTTTTTCTTTTTTCTTTTTTTCATTTGTTCTTATTCTACGTTGTAGTTGTGAGAGATGTCATCTGGCCAAAATTCAACAGCTAATTCCACTCAAGCCACAAGGGGAAAATCTGATATTGCATGGGCACATGTTATCGAGGGACGAGATGCCAATGGGAAGAAGACTTACTCATGTATGTATTGTGGGAAAACTATTAAAGGCGGAGGGATTAATAGAATGAAACAACATCTTGCAAAGAAGTCAGGTGAGGTTGGGCCATGTAAAAAAGTTCCCCCAGATATTCAATATCAAATGCATGAATCTTTGAAAGCATTTGATGAAAAGAAGATGCAAAGTGAAGAAAATTATGATCAATTAAATCCTTATGGTCCAGGTGGCTTTCAATTTGAGGGTGATGATGTTTATGTTAATGTTGATGATGAGGATGATGAGGTTGTGAGAACAATTCCTCAGAACAATAAGGGCATTTCAATCAATGAAGGAGCTGGAAGTGGGAATAAGAGTAGAGCACCAATGACACAGAAAGGGAAGGGGAAGAGACATGAACCAACAAAAATTGGTGATTATTTTGCACCAAGGACCACTCCGGGTTCTCAACCAACTATCAAAAGTGCCCTCCAAACTAAAGAAGCCATACATAGAGCACATATGATTGTTGGCAAATTCTTTTATGATACTTGTATTCCAATCAATGCTGTGAACTCCATTTATTTTCAGCCCATGTTTGATGCCGCAATTGCCATTGGTCCAGGATATAAAGTCCCTACGTACCATCAACTTCGAGTTCCTTTATTGAGAGACTCAAAAAGAGAGCTTCAATTGTATATTGACACTTTGAAGAGTTCGCGGGCTGCTTGTGGATGTACTATTATGGGTGATTGTTGGACTGATGCTAGACAAAGAAATCTAATAAATTTTCTTGTCTATCGCCCTATGGGAATTGCTTTTGTGAAATCAATTGACGCCTCTGATGCTGTCAAAGATGCTACTCTTCTTTCTAACTTATTTCTAGAGGTTATTGAGTGGGTAGGAGTGTCGAATGTTGTTCATATGGTGACAGATAATGGAGCAAATTATAAAGCTGCTGGAGGACTTGTAAATGCTACTTACAAATCTATGAATTGGTCTCCATGTGCAGCTCATTGCTTGAACTTAATCTTAAGTGAAATTTCCAAGATGAATCATGTGCATGAGCTTGCTATTAAGGCATCAACGGTGACAAGGTACATATACAACCGTTCATGGTTGTTAGCTCGGTTGAGAAAGAAGAAGAGTTGGACTGAAATTGTACGCCCAGAAGCAACGCGCTTTGCCACTACTTTCCTTGCATTGCATTGTATTCATGAGCATATGCATGATTTGCAAGCTTTGGTGACAAGTAAGGAGTTTGCAAGTTCAAGATTTGCCAAAGAGAAGAAAGGAAAGGATGCCATTGATATCATTTTAGATAAACAATTTTGGAACGATTGCTTCGTCATTGTTAAGATTGTTGAGCCACTTATGCGTCTCTTGCGCATTGTTGATGGAGATGAGAAACCGTCCATGGGATATGTTTATGAAGGCATGTATAGGGCAATCAAAGGTATTAAAGATATTTTCAAGAGAAATAAGAGGTTGTATAGGCCTTACACAATAATCATTAAAACTCGTTGGGATAATCAATTGCGAAAGAATATATATGCGGCTGCTTATTGGTTAAACCCAGCTTTTCAATATGATCAAGCTTCATTTTGCAAAAAGCCAGAGGTTATGAATAGTGTACTTGATGTGATTGAAACTAAAGCCACATCAAGTAAAACGAAACTCATGAATGAAGTCAGATTGTTTCGAGATCGACAAGACAGTTTTGCAATAGAGCTTGCCATTATTACATCAAAGAAAACACAACCTGGTAATCTCTCTCTCTTTTTTTTTAATAGTAATTATCATTATTATATGCTTTTGATTAGAATATTTTATCTCATTTATCTATTTCTTGTTTCTTTTTATTTTTAATTTTTTATAATATTTTTCTTTCTTTTGTGATAATAAGATGAATGGTGGAAGATGTTTGGACACAGTGCTCCAAATTTGCAAAAGTTAGCCATTCGAATTCTTAGTCAAACTAGCAGCTCTTCTGGGTGTGAAAGGAATTGGAGCGTCTTTGAACGCATACATACAAAGAAGAGGAATAGACTAGAACATCATAGGCTTAATGATCTTGTGTATGTTCATTACAACTTGCAATTGAAGAATAGGTAAATTAATCTTTCTCATATAGTAACTAATGGATTCTTTATTTTATACATTTATTTAGTCTTACAATTGAATCAATATAGAAAGTATTACAAAACAAGGAATTATGATCCCATTGACGTTGAAAGCATTGACAAAACTGAGTTTTGGATAATTGAAGAAGAAAGACTAGAACAAGAGGAGCCTGCATTGCTCGATTATGATGAGCTTCCACGATATAAGAAACAATGTCATGGTCTACGAGATGGTTAGAAAATATTGTTTCATCATTATGCAACAATTTTTTTTTTTTTATCTATCATTATCAAAATGATAGCTTAATGATTTTATTTTAACTATTGTAGATGATGTTAAGGATGATATGGAGGTAGAACTTCTTAGAGATGATATCGACTTGGGATCTTTTGGTGACGTGAACATTGATAATAGATCAAACAATCCGAGCTCCAGTGCAAATGTGAATGAGAATGATGATGATGATTGGCTAAATTATCGTCCCTAAGAGATTTAGGCAAAAATCAAAGATTGTTTGTGATGTTATATTGTTTTGTCTGTAAACTTTGGACTTATTTTTGTCTTTTTTGTAACTTATGTTTTATGGATTGCTTTAGTTGGATGCTTTCATAATTTTTATTACTATGATTGTTGTTTTTAATGGCTAAATTTTCATCTTTAATTTTATTTGTTGTTAGTATGTAAACTGTTATGGCTTATATTCAGGATTTTTTTTTTAATTATAGAAAAACATCACTAAAAATATTTAAGAATTTTTTTTTAAAAAAATTGAAAATTTAATATTTAAATTATTAATTTATATTTTTTAAAAAATTATTTATGACATAATTATGACGTCACGGTTCGATCCGGTTCAACCTGTCGGTTGAACCGGTGACCCGTCCACCCGATCATTTTTTCGGTTTGCTCATCGGTCCGGTTTTTAAAACCTTGATTCAAACCCACACATACAAAACCCTTGGCTTACAATCAGAGTCACAGCAAATGAGCACATTATGCTCTCTGCACACACTTCCACGCCTTCAGTTAGGCGGAAACACCACATCTTTTCTTGCACAAAAATCCCGTAGAGTGAGCATAAAGCCCAGTAGGAAGTTTTTAACAAAGTATATACATTTTATACAAGTCTCGTGAGATGGAATGCTTATGCCATGCCATGCCTTTTTGAAAGTAAAACACACATTCATCTTTTGAAAACCATCACGCTCAATGATGTCATACAATTTCAACTGCTCAACATTTATCAAATTTTATTCAAGAGGCGGTAAACACAACTCCATAAATCCCTAGGTCGGTGTCTGCAAGTAGACTATACAAGTACTACCAATTTGTCATTTTTACCGGTATTAACCAGAAGGCTCGACACCTCTAATCTGTCATTTTTACCAGTATTAATTGAAAGGCTCGACACCTATAATCTATACCACCTTTCAAGACTTACCAACATATTTACCCCAAAACCATTTCATGAAAACTTGTTTCTCAACATTCTTTTCTAAATGCAAAGTTTTCAAATCAAATTTCAAAGCTCTTAATTATCAAATAAATTGATATGCCAATGCAATGATTAATAATACAATGCAATATTTCTTCCACTTTCAATACTCCCACACAATATTCCCATTGTGATCAAAATTCTCATTTCTCACTTCAATGCAATTTCACAAGATGAATAAATACTTTTATTTCAATTCATCCAAGGGATAACAAAATTCCCGCATTTCAAACATTTCCAACAATTTAGTCATTTCAAGACTATATCAACATTTTTAAACAATAATTTCCAAAACTTCAAAAATTATCTTATTCCATGGAAAACCATCATTTATATGTAATAAATAAAAAATTTTCAAACACCATTTATTTCAGCACACAAAATAAATATAACAACATATTCTAAAGATTTTCAACATCTTTCTTAAAATATCCCCAATATCTAGGTTTTCTCACCAAAAGCCATTCATCTTCAAATATTTGAGAAGATCTCACCAAAAACATTTTTCTTTCATCAACATAGTTCAAAAACCCTCAATTTCTATTTTTAGAAGGAAAATAAGGTAAACCCACTTTCAAAATCACTCATCTTCTTAAATCAACAATCAATTTTCAAAACTAATCAAAGGATGGTTTCGAAAATCATCTAGATCTTGCAAAAACATATATATAACTCAAAGAAAATCCCTACCTCAAGCGTAGAAAAGAAGATGAGCAAAACAAGGTTGAAACTCCAAAGTTGTCGAAACCAACTTCTACTTGGATCAAAATGAAGCTCTTGATAAGCTCTACACTTAATCTCAAAGGAGCAAGGCAAGAAGATGCTTTCAAGTGAGTAGATCTAAAGATCTTTAAGCAGCAAGTGATTTTGGAGAGAGAGAGAGAGTAACTCATGGCTTGGAGAGCGAAAAAGAGAAGAAAAAGTAAATAAAATGTTAAGTGAGGGACCTATTTATGGTGCTAGGTCAAAGTAAAATAAAGTCCCAAAGTCAACCTAAAAGATCAAGTCAAAATCCTCAAAAAGTAGGCCCAAAACCTGATTGAAATCTGGAAAAAAAGTCTGTAGGGGTCGACCCTTGCAACACAGGGGTTGACCCTATGAAGAAACTTATGTTTGACAGCATGCAAGGGGGTCGACCCTTAGACAGGAGGGAGTCAACCCTATTTTCCAGCAACTAACACACAGACATAAGAGGGTCGACCCTCCCCTGACTGGTGTCTACCCTATTTTCCAGCAACACTTTCAGAAACTTCACCAACAGGTAAGGGTCGACCCTTAGGAAGGCTGGTGTTGACCCTAGAATAGAATTTCTAAGTCTTCAAGGAACTTTTGACAAGAATAAGTGCGAACAACCAAACCCAACAAGTTTAAATCGGATTATACTCCTCCAAAATAAACCCATAACAATACCAAAGATTTCCAAAATAAAAATAAAGGATTCGAATACACTTTCCCAAAAGCTTTGAAGGACACAAATGCTACAACACGTGTCCTTTACTGAAGCCGACCTAGACATAGTGCAACATCCACACAACGATGCGTTGGTGATATCCCTCAAGATTGGAAAATGCCAGATAAAGCGCATTCTGATAGACCAAGGCAGCTCTTGTGACATCATGTATGCCAGATGTTACAAGGCGCTCGGCCTCCACCAAGATGATTTGGAACAGTCCAACAGTCCAATGGTCGGGTTCAATGGAACGCCGACGTGGCCCTTGGGAGTAATAAGTTTGGAGGTACAGGCAAACACTAAAAAGTTAAGTACAGAGTTCACAGTAATTAACACCCCCTCCCCTTACAATGTTATCTTGGAGAGGCCATGATTGCACGCAGTGAGGGCTGTTCCCTCAACACTGCACCAGCTATTGCAGTTCCCAACAGAGCATGGAATTGAAGAGATCAGAGAGGATCAAGTGCAGGCAAAGAATTGCTCCATAGCAGCAATGAAATCCACCTGCAACGTACAAGAAACAGAAACAGTAGAGATTGAGAACGAGAAAAACAAGGAAGCCTTAAATAAGATCCTGTTCCAACAAGGGAATGAAGAACGATTCTTCCTTCTCGGCTCAGGTTTGGCCGATGAGGAGGAAAGGGAGTTAGAAGCATTCTTACGAGCAAACATTGAGGTGTTTTCCTGGACGCCATGCGAGATGCCTGGCATTGACCCCGAGGTCACTTGCCATAGATTAAATATGGACAAGTCGGCTAAACCTGTCATCTAACGAGCAAGAAGGCCAACATTGATGCATGTTGAGGCAGTAGAAAAGGAGGTAGATAAATTACTGGAGGCCAGAGCCATTCGAGAGGTAAACTACCTAACTTGGTTGTCAAACACGGTTGTTGTGAAGAAGAAGAAGAATGGGAAGTGGAGGGTCTGCATGGACTTCACAAGCCTGAATAAAGCTTGTCCCAAAGACAGTTCCCCACTCTCAAAAATTGATCAATTGGTGGATGCCATTTTAGGGCATGAAAGGATGAGCTTCTTGGACGCATACAGGGAGTACCATCAGATAACAATGTATCCCCTGATGACGAGAAGACTGTATTTATCACCCCAAAAGGGCTGTATTGTTGTAGATTGATGCCTTTCGGGTTGAAAAATGTAGGAGCAACCTACCAGAGGTTAGTGACCAAGATGTTCAGACATCTAAATGGAAAAATAGTGGAGGTATATATTGATGACATTGTCGTGAAGACCAAAGAACTTGAGAATCACCTGGCTGACCTAAAGGTAGTTTTTGACAATCTTAGAACATATTGGCTCCAACTCAATGCTTTGAAATGTGCATTTAGAGTTAGGTTGGGTAAGTTCTTAGGATACTTGGTTACCAGTAGGGGCATTAAGGCGAGCCCAGATCAAATCAAGGCCATCCTGGACTTGAAAAGCCCAACATCGGCAAAATAAGTACAGATATTGACTGGAAGGGCCACAGCCCTGAATAGATTTATAAGCAGAAGTTCAGACAAATGCAA